TGCCCCTTTCCTTGGCATATGGGCTTGAAACACCTTGTTCCTTGAAACACCTTGTTCAGGTGTTTCAAGCCAGATACAGCCACCAGCACTATCCCTCCCAGACTGCCTCCAGGGTAAGTGAGGTATTTCCAGGTAAAACACGTTGGTCCCACTGGGGAGGTAGATAACTATGACTTAAAACATCTCCTAAACTTGTACCCAGTGGCAGGAACCATGGGACCAGAGGAGAGAGGGGCAGCACAGATCAGGATCTTGGGGGTCCAAATTCCACAAAAGACTCGCCTGGTGGTGGCGCACATGTCCTTAATCCCGGCTAGCCTGGTCTCCAGGACAGGCACGGATGCACAGAGTGAGACCCTGACTTGAAAAACCAGAGAGAGACAGAGAGAGAGAGAGAGAGAGAGAGAGAGAGAGAGAGAGAGAGAGAGAGAGAGAGAGAGAGAGAGAGAGAGAGAGAGAGAGAGAGAGAGAGAGAGAGAGAGAGAGAGAGAGAGAGAGAGAGAGAGAGAGAGAGAGAGAGAGAGAGAGAGAGAGAGAGAGAGACTGACACTGACTCTCACCACCTCCTTGTGTAACCCAGGACTTCCATACAAGTTACCTTCCTCATGATCTTCCGGCCATAAAACATTACTTTGTCTCTTTTCCGGAACCTGTACTGAGGAGTGGGCTCTGCATGTCCTGTGAGAGGGAAGGGAAATTGTGAGTTGGCAGGATCTGTATATAGCCTTGAATGGGTATGTAGCGAACATGGCTGCAACTAAATAAAGTGCAAACACAAGACGGGCCCTGAGGATGAGGTACTGACAATAAGCCATGCTCTGGGCTGCCCTATCCCTGGCTACCTCTCAGCAGGGGAAAGCAGTAGCATAGGGGACTCATCTTAGAAGACAGGAATTTCTTCTGTTCTTACTGGATTCTAGTTTCGGAATGAGCAGAAAGGGCTATGGACAGACTGGGAACCTCAACCTGAGCCTCAGTAGGTGACCACATTCCAACAAGACTTTGAAAGAACCCCCCCCCCAGGAGCTCCAAATACCTCATAGGACACAAATGCAGACACCCCCACTACCCCAGAGTCCAAACCAAGATACTTACGCAATCTCCTCACCCTTCTGTACACAAAAAATATGGCAACACCAACAAAGGCCAGTGTAAGGAGGGCTCCGATTCCAATCCCGACCAGCTACACAGGATGGGAGACAGATAACAGTGTCAGCAGGGCCAAACAGAGCCACAGGCCAATCAGGGCCCAGCCCCTGGGAAGCCCACAGTGATTACCATGGTGGACCGTGAATGCTCCTCCATGAAATGCAGCCCCCAGGAGCTCAGGGTGCTACCCAAACAATAGCCAGCCTGAGGAGAGAACAAACAGGGAGCCCAATTTCTCAGCCTGGGCTTGGTCAGAGAACAAGAGTAAAGTCAGGGAGAAAGTCAATAGTCCTGAAGATTTTTGAGAAATGGGGGCTACCAGATAACTCAGCAGAGAAGGCATTTACTGACAAATCTGAGGACCTGAGTTTAATCCTGGAGACCCACATGGTGTCAGGATAGAACAGATTCCTATAAGTTGTTCTCTGACCTCCACATCTGTACCATTACATTTGCATTTACACTGCTACACACAGGAACACAGAATGAATAGATAGATAGATAGATAGATAGATAGATAGATAGATAGATAGATGATCTTACCAGAGGTACTAAGACCCTCTGAGCTCAACTGCAAGAACAGAAAAGCAGCAACCTGTCTCCTTTGGCACTGGGATGAGTAGGCACAATAGGTATACTATTAGCAAATGCATGCACATTAATAAACCCAACTTCTAGGCTAGAGGGATGGCTCAGAGGTTAAGAGCACTGGCTTTCAGAGGTCCTGAGTTCAATTCCCAGCAACCACATGGTGGCTCACAACCATCTGTAATGAGACCTGATGCTCTCTTCTGGCCTGCAGGGACACATGCAATTAATAAAAAAATAAAAATAAAACAAATAAATAAGCCAGACTTCTGGGTCTCCAATCCTCAAGAAGCAAACCTAGGAGAGGTCAAGGCTCATCTCTTGGTACCCTCTGGATACCAACAGGACCAGGGTGGCAAACCCCAAAAGATCCATGACAGCCCACTCAAAATAAATGCTCAGAAACTCCTAACAGTGTATGAAGTTACTGATGTCCACATTCATTGTAGTTCCAACTACCTGAAAGGATGAGGCAAGAGGATCATGTAGGACCAGGTGTTCAAACCCTGCCTAGACAACCAGTGAGACCCAGTTTTAAAAACAAAAGGATGAAGGACAAAAAGAAACCCAAGGGAAGATCTATCTGGATTCAGAGCTATCCAAAATCAGCTCATGTGCCAAAGAAGAAATGGCAGGGAGGGTTGTGTCTCTGGCCACTGCTGTCTCCAGGAAGACACTGACAGGACTTGCGGTGTCCAAACAAGGGAAGGAGGCAGGAGAGCAAAGGTTCAGGATATAAGGGTGAATGGGGACAGTGGGGGGAGACAAAAGAACCTGTCCTGTGGCTCTTCCTCAGTCCTCTAATACTTATCTACCCCTTCCTTCCAAGCAGTCAGGAATTGCATAGGCAAGAGCCCACTTACTCATCCTTTGCAGTTTCTACCTAACTGCCAAGGACCAAAGCCTAGCCTTAAAAACAAACACTCCCTTCCAGAAAACCCAAGGAGAGCTGGAGGCCACTCAAAAAAGAACCCCAAAGGCACGGTTCTGCATCCTAACAGAGTAAGTGGGTTACCTAGAAAACAGCCTTGTCCTTTTTGTTCGGGGGCAAATAGCCGAGTATTGCTTAAGGGTGAACAAGAACCTCACTGGCAAGTATGTTCTCAGGTGACTTCAACACTGTGTGAATGTCACGGGTGCATTTCTGTAAGCACTATTACCCCACCGAGCAACACAATCTGTGGGATCACTATTACATGTGGTCCGCTGTGCAATGTATAGACAATATGCTTTTTGTTTCAAAACTGAGGCACTCAAAGTCCCTTCTCCTCTGCCCCAGCTTAGTTCTCAAAACTGGGGTGCATTAGAGCACGCCAACCACACCTACTTCCCTCTGAGCCTACCTTATCTAAGGAAAAACCCTTACATGCATACACAGTCTACCACAGTAGACCACCTCAGCCTGGCTAGCTTTTTACAGTTACTCTAATGGGTCTACTCTTCTAGTTTAAAAATAAACGCACAGGGTATAGTGCCTTTAGTCCCAGCACTCTCGAGGCAGAGACAAGTGGATCTCTGTAAGTTCAAGGATAGCCTGGTCTACATAGTGAGTTTTAGAGATGTGTAGAGTGACCCTCTCTCAAAAACAAAACAAACCAAAGAAACAAACAAACAAAATCCACCAAAATACTAATAAAGGCCTTTGGGATGTGGCTAGTGTTGAGAAAAAGATTCTTCAAATACCAAAGTTCTACAAGAAAGCAGGAAGTAACAACTGCTATCTTAATGGAAGAAAAGGAGGCTTCAATAATGACTTAACGGCCAGGTTCCATTGTCCACACTGTGAGGAACCAGTGTCTAGTAACAAGTGTCAGAGCTCTGATAGGGAAATTCACTGCTCCCACATTTTCTGGGTCTTAAAGAATCCTGTGTAGAAACCTTAGGCAAAGTATTTTACTGTCCTCTGGAAATGCCCAGCCTGGGAGTTCTAAGAGTTCTGTTCTCACCCATGCCTGGTCTACCTACCTCAAGGCAGATATCTTCTTCTTTCTTCATGACTGAAAGCAAAGCAATGTGGAGGGCAAAAAGGAGGCAGGCTGAGACAGACTGCTCCACCAGAACCTTTACAACAGCAGGACAGCTGTAGTCCCAGCCTTGCCAGCACCTTTCCAAGTCAAACGTTCTTATTGGAAGGGACTCCAGAACTCTGTGCTCCAAAACAAGTTGTTTTCCAGGAGCGTCTGCTCTCTCTGTGCTTCCGTCCCCTGTAAACAGCTCTCACGTGATCTAAGGGGAACCCATAACTGTGGCCCGGGGTGGGGGTGAGAGTGGCAATGAAGGCGAGAGTGGCGGTGGGGGATGGGAAATTGAGTGGCACGGTCAGGGATCTAGCTGCCAAGCAAGGAAAGCGCAGCTTGGGGGTGGGGATATAGGAGAGGAAACCAGGAGTCTAAATTGGCTGACAGTTCAGGGAGGTGGGACAGTTGATACTGGTGGCACAGCTAATAAAGTGGCTCAGGAGCCAGACGAAGCAACAGGCAAAGAGGAAGAAGGCGAGGAGAGAAGCGACCGAAGTGGAGAGGTGACCGGATGGGGCACCCTCACCCGGGCGGCTTGATGTAGCTAAGGGAAGAGACGAAGGATGGGGCTTAGAGGGCTTACAGCTCAATAAAGATCTGGGACAAGGGGGGAATCACAGCCCCAAAGGGGTGATAGACGCGAAGGTTATAGCCTAGGAGTGATCACCGGAGGAGAGCCGTGACAGGGAGGGAGGGAAAGGAGGACAAGGTATCAAGGAGAGCGGCTCAGCTAAAGCGTGCAGTATGTGGACAGGCAGCCCATGCACGGTGGGTGTGGTGGGACCAGAGATGATTAACTCAGAGGACCACTAGGACCCAAGTAGACTTGGCCACGCGCCAGACCGTAGGCTAGACCGCCGATCACTGGTCCAGTCCTCAATAGCGCGTCAATCCCGGAAGCCACGGCTCGATGGTGACTGGGAGGGTCCACAAGCCTCGACCCGCCAGGACGCAGGGCAGCACCGATGACGCCCGCGCCACTGCGGCAGCGGGCCTTAGTCGCAGCGGTTGTGAACGTCCGGTCGCGGGGCTGACGAGGGCCAAGAGCGACCTCCTTACAAGGCAGACCTAGACCGCCACCTCGCGGCACAGGGCGAGCACGCGCTACTGCGCACGCTCCAATCGGGTTCTGCGTGGCTGCGCGGATTGGCTGAGTCTCCACGGTCACAAGTCCTCCGCCCGGGCTGGTATTGGGCGCATTGGCGACCAATGCACGAAACTCTTGCTGCGGAGTGGCTGGCCCTGCCGACGGCCGGAAACGCGAGGGAGCGTCTTGCCCTGGATGCTGTACACAGTTCAGGTGTGGGGATCCGTGTCTGATCTCTCTCAGGTCGAAAAGGAGAGAGGCCTGCGGGCCGAGCTCAAGAGCCATCAACCCAGGTCGGTGAGCGTTTCCCGTTGGCGCCGCCAGCGCGGGGTTCTTCGGGTCCGTGATCTTTCAGGGTTAGGGGGTAGTCTTCTCTTGTGGGATTTTGGGTCCTCTGTCCCCGTGGCTCCTCGGATCATCTGCACCCACAGTGCCCACAGCACTCTCTACTCTTCAGGGTGCCCAGTCCCTCTAGCTCTGATTGGCCCCCTCAACTGCCTTGTTCTTTCAGAGCTGTCTTCTGCAGAGCCCAGCATGGGTTTCCTGACCGCCGTTACGCAAGGCCTGGTGCGGGGAGCGGATAGGATGAGCAAGTGGACAAGCAAGCGGGGACCACGCACCTTCGTCAAGAGCCGGGGTGCCAAGAGAACCGGCATCTATACCTCTAATGGAAAGTTTGTGCAGATAAAGGAAATGGTCCCAGAATTTGTCGTCCCGGACTTGACTGGCTTCAAGCTCAAGCCTTATGTTAATTACCGAGCTCCTGCAGGCATAGACACACCCCTGACCGCCAAAGAACTCTTCCTGCAAACAGCTGCACCTGCTATTGAAAAAGACTTTATAGAAGGGACTTTTGATGCTGACAACTTGGAGAAATATGGCTTTGAGCCCACACAGGAAGGCAAGCTCTTCCAGTTGTATCCTAAAAATTTCCCACGCTAGAAAACAGTGACAGTGACCAAAAGTTTGCCTACAAAGTGGAGATAATGCAAGCCTTGGATTCTGAGTGTCTCGAAGAGTAGGCGCTTCCTTGTGCATTTCTATTAAAGGCCTTTAGTATCTCATACAGTGTTTGCTTTGAATCAAGTCATTGAAGTGTGAAGTGTGCTGCAGGGCAGAATCCATGCAGTAGCTAGAGTCCATAACAAATACTGAGTCAGGGTTAGGCACTGTGCAGGCTCCAAGGCAGAGGTGCCTTTCCTGTCAGGTGAAAGTAACTATCCCCAAGGAAAAACTGAAGATGGGAGTGATGTGACCAGTTAGTGCTAAACTACTTTTGGATAATCAGTGTACCTGATTCGTCACAGTTCCTCAGATCTATGTCCCATTTAAGACTTAGCTGATCTTAATGTTTGTTTAGCACCTTTTATTCAAACAAATTGGGCCAGTAACTGAGAATTGATCCCTTTAATGACAAACAAAAAATTTAAAATGTTATCAGAAAGTAACACAAGGACTGGCTGAGTTCAGCTCATATAGTGGTTGCCATACAATCATGAAAACCCAAGTTAAGCCCATGTAACAAGGCAAGTGTGGTAGCCCTTGCTTATAATCTCAGCACTAAGAAAGGGATCGTAGGATCTTTGGGGCTTGCAGCCCAGTCAAATCTAGACTAATCCGCTAACCTCAAATCTCAGTAAGAGACCTTGGCTCAAAAAAGACAAGGCAATCTTGCATAGCACCTGAGAGTGACCTCTGTCTGCCACACTAATGCATATTTACATACACAAACAAAAATTCAAGGCATAGTATTGCACTTAAATAGACTAGGAAGGGGTTGTAAGTTTCAGATCAGCAAGAGCTATGTAACAAAACCCTTTTATTCAGTCATTCCTTTCTAAGTCCTTCTACATATCTTCAGCTGTCCTGGAACTCACTCTGTAGACCACCAGGCTGGCCTCAACCTCACAGATAGCACCTTCATGTGCTTCCTAGTGCTGGGATTAAAGGCATATACCACCACACCCAGCTAAGACCCTGCATTAAAAGGCATAATATCTCATACCTATGAACTCAGCATTTGGGAAGCTGAGGTAGGGAAGTATCTCCAAGAGTTCAAAGCCAACCTGCCTAGACTACATTATGAGCTCATGATCAGCCTGGAATATATAGGCACGGGGAAGGAAAAGGTAGCTATGCTGGGAGTACAGTTCAGGGCTAGATGTTCATAAGTTGTCTAGCATGGCAAGTCCCTGTATTTCATGCCCAGCATTTAGAAGAAAAAGGCAAAACACTATTCTCAGAACACTTATGTATCCTACGGAGGGTTAGTCATATTCCAATGCCCTCTTTACTCCTAGATAAGACATTAAAAATGGCAATCTTGGTAGCTACACACCAGTTTAGCTGGGCGGTGGTGGCAAATGCCTTTAATCCCAGCACTCAGGAGGCAGAGGCAGGCGAATCTCTATGAGTTTAAGGCCAGCCTGGTCTACAGAGAGAGTTCCAGGACAGGCTCCAAAGCTACAGAGAAACCCTGTCTCAAAAAAAAAAAAAAACCAAAAAAAAAAAAAACCAACTGAATATCTATTTCAGTATTGGTTTAGCATGCAAAGGCCTCCAAGTTCCATTTCAGTACCAACTTAAAAAAAAAAAAAAAAAAAAGTAAAATCTCTCTAGGAAATAACTTTTTGTTTGTTTGTTTGTTTTTTGTTTTTTTTTTCGAGACAGTGTTTCTCTGTGACTTTGGAGGCTGTTCTGGACTCGCTCTAGGCTGGGCTCGAACTCACAGAGATCCGCCTGCCTCTGCCTCCCAAGTGCTGGGATTAAAGGCATGCGCCATCAACGCCCGGCTAACTTTTTTTTTTAAGGATTTATTTTATGTGCATTGGTGTTTTGCCTGTATGAGGGTGTCACATTTCCTGGAACTGGAGTTACAGACAGTTGTAAGCTGCCATGTAGGTGCTGGGGATTGAACCAGGGTCCTCTGGAAGAGCAGCCAGTTCTCTTAACCGCTGAACCATTTCTCCAGCCCTAGGAAATAACTTGTAATGTGATAAAGTGAGACTTTAAAAAGAGGGACTATGGGGCTAGCAAGATGGCTCAGTGGTACTTACTGCCAAGACTGATACCTAAGTTGGATGTCTGGGACCCACATGATCAGAGGTCCAACTCCTGCAAGTTGTCTGCTGATCTCCACATGTGCACAGTGGATATTTGTGTCTCACACACAAATTAAAAAAAAAAAAAAAAAAATTAGGAGCTGCAGGCTAGAGATGGTTCAGGGGTTAAGAGTTCTGCCTGCTCTTCCAGAACCCACAAGGTAGCTCACTGAGCTACTTCCAGGTGATCCAACGCCCTCTTCTGACCTCTGGTAATACAGGTACACACGTGGAACACAGCAAAATACTTATACACACAAAATAATTGCTTTTGTTTCTCCAGATAGGGTTTCTCTGGCTGTCCTGGAACTCACTCTGTAGACTTGGCTGGCCTCAAACGTAAATCTGCCTGCCTCTGCCTCCCAAGTGCTGGTGAAAGACCCCTGCCCCTTAGCCCTTTCTTTCTCAAGTTTGTCTCCTCTTCCTCCTGTCGGCGGCTTCCCTGATCCCCACCCCCGGCGG